GTCTCTTCTCAGAGCTCTGTGCATAGGCAACCTTTCATTTTTCAGCTCTCTTTTCACATCCCAGGAGCATTTGTGGAAGAAATATTTCACATACACCTTTCACTTTGGGGAAAAGAAAAGTGGGGAGAAAAGATGACTGGTCTATGAAATAAGATAGTCCCACTGGTATTCACATTGTTTTCATAGAAGTCTCCAATTAAAAACTTTTCCTGGAACTTTGCTTGGGACACAGTCGTATTCCTGTGTATGTGCACATATGCCTAAATAGTATTATTATCCCCCTTATATAAGACTCTGCTCTGAGCCACACAAAGAAATGTTAGATAGAACTACTGGAAACTTTAATCATATGGGTATACACTCCAAAGGTCTAAATTTGTAGCAAGCATTCAATATTAATGAATATGACAAACTATGTATTCCAGAATGGTGCCTGACAGAAAAACTCAGACACTTCTTTCTATTTCCTAGAAGATAAGAAAAATGAGAAAAAAAAAAAAAAAAGCTTTTTTCCTAGCTAACTGCATGTTCCCTATAATCAGACCCACACTGCGATTCTGATTGTTTTGATTAATGACCCAGGTACTTTCTTTCGCACCACAGTTCTCTCACAGCCCCACATGCATTTCTCTGAAAGACAAGTCACAGTGATACAGAACTAGTATCTATTCCCACTATTCCCCGTGTGCTTTCACTGGAGGTATACAGGTATGACTTTCTCAGCCTAAGTGCATCTTATCTATTATACCAATCCTACGGGAGTTCAGGAAGTCATTATTAATTCATATCAGAAACTACAAGCATCATGCCTCTTCAAATCCTGCTGGATTTGATTTAACACTGTCAAAGAACTGGAAAAGAACAGGAATACCACTACCATATGTGACTTAGCAGCCTGTGTCTACAGCCTGCCACCTGCAGTGACTCTTCCTATAATCCTTTTTCCTTTTTGAAGTTTTTTGAAGCATTTTACAATACATCCATTTAGGAATTATAAGATTATAATGATTTTAAAATTGCTTGGGGAAGAAAGATAGGCATTCCTATGCTCTTTTATTATTACATGGACCTTCCAAGGAAGAATAAAAGTTTTTATCATTGCTTTTTAAGGACTCCAGTACTTTTTCTACAGCCTTTAGAAAATACTGCTCTAGGAGAAAAAAATAGTATATGAGTTTCTTGTCATACTTTTCTACTATTTTTAAGATGGACTGATATTTATTAATTTCACCATGAGATAATATTTTCAAGGAAGGAAAGCGACCTGGCTTATTTTTGGCAATGTGGATTTGTCCCTCTGTTTCCACTAGGTGTCTCTGCCTTGCCACTACAAATCACTTTGCAGCTATACAGGGAAGGTAAAAATTTGGTATCGCAACAGCTCTTGACCTCTTATCTAGCTGCAGTTGGAAAACAGCATGTAACATTTACATCCTTTGTTCTTGATTCAATGTCAGGTAAAAAGAGCTATAGCCAATACACCTTTTTATCTCACTCGCTTTCTACAGTGCATTGAATCATTTTATAGGAACCCATCTTCTGTCTTTCCATTAACCTAAATCTCTACTGGACCTTAGAGGAAATAGTCTGTTACCATGGAGAGAAGGAAGAGAAGTCCTGATTATAAAACTGTTGCTTCTAAGATGTTATTGTTGAAAACAAGGATCTACAAATTCTTGAAATTTAGCAGAGAGAAATCATCTCAAAAGCAGGAGTCTTTTCTCTCCAATTTTATAATTAACAGTATTCCTTAGCCAGCCAGCCAGTCTTTCATTTGTTTATAGTGGAAAAAAAAATCTTATTCCAGCACAACCTAACTCAGTTCCTGCTGGATCCCTCTAAAAGTGTAAGTTAGGGGTTTGAAAAAGAACAGGCAGGATTCTGCTCTCTGTGGAAAATTATCACAGTAAGGAGGAAAAGAGATGTCCAGGCCTGATTTAAGTGGCTGAGGATTAGTGGCAAAATACAGTACATATAGAATCCCTGAAAACAAAATTTACTCCTGCTTCATTTACAGTAGTGGAGCACAATGGCCAGTTACATGGTAAACTTCAGTCAAATGGGGAGACCAGAAAACCTGTGATAATATCCAAATCCTAAATAGAAATACCTCCAGCCTGACTTTTTTTTTTTTTTTTGGTAATAAAATTCATGCAGCTAGGCAATGGCAAGATCAACAAATTTAAATTCCCAGGACAGGTCTACTGGTCAGGAATTCACAGAAAGTACATCAGGAGAAAAGATCCCTCAAGATGCGGGAGACCTGCTTTCATGAATTTTTATGCAAACAAAAGCCAACTTAACTGCCAGGCTGTTGATGTACACTTGAGTTTACATGAAACAATTCTATTTTCATTAAGCAGCATAAAATTTAAATTCTTTAGTCTTGCAGAAAGTATTAGTCTAAGTTCTCACTGTTCTATGGCTGGATATGCTTATACTCCATGTTACTGCTTAAAAACATGGTGGATATGGATCTGTATCCTGGCAAAAGTTTGAACTGGAACCTCAATTCCTCAACATCTTTTCTTGCACACAATTGCCTACTATCAGTATGCTGCCTCCTATGGATTTATGGGTATGTGTTCTGTCCCACTGACACTGGAGTTCAAGCAGAGAAAAAAACATTTTTTAGTGCGCTGCTGAGTCTAAGAATGAGTCTCAGATCGCCTGGATTTTAAATACCAGCAATAAGACCTTAGTAACTAAAGCCAGCTACAGCCCAAAATGTGTAGCCAGTACAGTCAATGGGGTCTAGAGAGACAGTCTCTCTCTCCCTATATATAGAGAGAGCATATATATATATATATATATACACACACGCACCTCCTTAACATGAAATAAATAGCTCTCATACCACATCATCACTGACTGTATTGGGAGCTTAATTGTAGAGTTCATATGTAGACATTTACACTTTATCTTCAATAAAGGGAATTTAATCCTTCTCTAAGAACTTGGTGATAATAACTGTTGGGAATCTTTGAAAATTTGAAAATTCAAAAATTTTATATATATATATACAAGTATAAATATATATATATATACTTTTTTATATATATATAAGTATAAATAAATAAATAAACAAATAAATAAGGAATGCTTCTGGACCTGGAGATAAAATGAAGAAGTGGATATGTATTTCTTAAGAGATCTTCTGGAATAAGTGCTAAAACGTTTTTTTTTTTATTAGATTTTTATTCTTTGTCCCTCTGCACATGCACACACTGTTATATGTTTAAATGTCCTCCATCTCTCACTACAGCTTGTACAGTCCTATCTTAAAATGGAAAATAATCCTCATTTGTTTGCTCTGTATTCATATTGGAAGGGAATTAATATTTATGAAATGCATTGAAGACAAATGTTGAGTACTATTACCCTATTGATGACTACCAAATTAGAATTCAACTTACATTTTGTTACAATGTCTTTTGCATATGGATGGGTATTGCTGGATTTTGTACAGTGGACTTTTAATCTTCAAGTAGGACTATATATATCTTACTATCAAAATCCACTTAAATTGAAACACAGACTATAAGGCGCAGGGAGTTGCCACAGCCACGATGCTTGCCTGGTATAGAATATTCTCGATGTTTTATTGTTTACTCAGTTTTAACTAGCTGACATTGAACAACTCATTTAGTGTCAAGGTTTCCTGTGCAGCCATAATATAAAGCAGACGATGCCTAATTTTAGGTATTCACGTCATGCTGTTTAATAATCTAGGAGCTGAAATCTCTTTTGATTGGTTTACTGGGAATAAAATGCCTAAATATCTTTGAGATTGTGGGGTGATACAGGCACCAAGATCCTGCAGATGACATTCTGTGCTTCCCAGTACAAGAGGGACATGCAACTTGTCCAGAGGGTCCAGCAAAGAGCTACAAAAATGATTAACAGATGCCAGCATCTATCTAGAGGAAAGACTAAGCGAGCTGGGCCCGTTTAGCCTTGGAGAAGAGAAGACTGAGAGGGGATCTGATGAATATGTACAAATACCTGAAGGGAGAATGTAAAGAGGATAGGGCTAAACTCTTCTCGGTGGTGGCCAGTGACAGGACAAGGGGGAATATTTACAAATTTAAAGACAGGAAGTTCCATCTCCATATGAGGAAGAACTTTTTCCTGGGAGGGTGACAGAGCCCTGGAACAGGCTGCCCAGAGAGGTTGTGGAGTCTCCTTCTCTGGAGATCTTCAAAATCCACCCGGATGCCACCCTGTGCCATGTGCTCTAGGTGTCTGGGCTTGAGCAGGGGCACTGGGCTAGATAATCTCTAGAGTTTCCCTTCCAATCTCAAACATTCTGTGATTCTGTGATTCTGCGATGTAAACACATTTGTGAATGAGTATTCAGTCAATGTTGAGCACGTAGAGTTGTGAGACCTGAGACCTCTCTGAGTCTGCTTGAAAGAGAATGGAAACTACTTTAATAACCATATGTAGACCTATATTAACAATATTATTTTATTAAAAATACTCCCAGAATGTAACAAGAGTGAAGAAGAGATGAAAGGATGAGTTCTTCACAGGAGAACATTTAATCCTTATAATTCCTCTCTAATGAAAGCCCTTTCCATCCACATTCACTGTCCAGGAGCTCCTGCACAGTCTTGCAAGCTACTTCTCAGATTCTTTGCTTGTCTGATAGAAAAGTATTGGTGAAGAAAGGTGAATACTGTAAAAACAGATCTTGACTCTTTCTCTTAGCTCATGACACGCAGCTACCAGAAGCTTTCAGCAAATTAATAAACATAAAAGATAGCCAGAGAAAATTTATTTAGTAATTTTGTTTTGCATAGTTAATGTCTGTGGCAAGCTGAAGCGAAAATTTGCCTAACTATATCTGGGCTCAAATTCTAGTACCTCTGAGAATCTTTACCATAAGGAAAATGTTCTGGGTCTCGTAATTAAAACTACTACAGGAAACATTGTCCACATTCCACTTCACATTTAAACTTACAAAAATAAGTGAAATGAGATTTTCTGTACTATACCTGTACAGATGAAACTTGATAGTCCTCCATAGATGACATCATCGTTGTCGGGTAATATAAAGGGACACCTTGTCTGAACCTCCAAACAGTATTGCTTGCAAGGAATTCTGTTGCTGCAGTGAAACTGTGTGACTTCAAAATACTGGGAACAGAGCCAGGCTTTGTAGACAGTCTGGAAAAGAGAAGAATCAGAAGTATAGATGGATGACAACAGTACTGCCATTATTAGAAGCACGTGTTGTACAGCACACCTACATTAATATTCCTTCTGAAGCCAAGTTCTAAGAGAATATCACCTGATTAAACAAACCCTAAAATTTGACTACGAACCTGTTTCAAAACTGAAAGCTCCAGCCAAGCTGTTTAAAATTATAGCTATTTAAAAGCAACAATAACCCAAGGCTACGCTAGTATTTTATCTTTGTTTGCAGACAGGTATCTGTCTAAATTACAGCTTTCCATTGCACACACACGCACGCACACACACACACACAGACAATACCCCTCTAGCATTTTATCTTCATAGATAAACCATGGTCCTAATCGCATTTGGAATTCTTTGGGGGAAAAATAGAAATACATGTGTAAAAAAGAATTTCAGACTGAGCTCAGGCCTGCTTAGTGAATATTGTGTAAAGCTAAGCCTTCAGGTCACGATAGATGGTGCTACTTCTCTTCAAATTGAGCTCTGTGCAGTCCATACCATTAGGGTGCCTGAACACCAATGGCTTTAGACTAGAATCTAGACTAAATCCATAGCAGTGAGGGACAACACATACATCTGGGGGCAAAAATGCACACTGTATAGACATGGTATAGAAAGCTGTGATTATTACTATCATCTTTGTCATTGTTTAAACAAAGAACATAATAAATACATTGACTTTGATTTCTTTATCCAACTGTCTTCTGAGCAGCACGATTCTCATAAGACTTCAGCTGAGTCTTTGAAACACAGATGTGCTTCACATGCGGGATCATACAAAAGTAGAACGCACACCAGTAAACCAAGGTGATAATACATCTGTATGACTAAGTATAAGTACAACAGAAACTTGCTTGTTCTACATTTTTATCTTCCACTTATCTGTTTTGAAGTACCTCATTTAATGGCTAGGTAGTTGCTATCTAGGTTGTTATATAATGTGAACTTCCTCTCTGCATTCATTCAGAGCAGCTTAATAGCTTCTGAAATTCAGCTTTTATCACAGGCTGAAAAGCAGTATAGTTAGCTGATTGTTTTCTTTCTTTCTACATATGTTTTTAATAAAGAACATATTTTTTAGTGCTGAAATTTCAACTGACAACTGAAAAGAGCAAATTAGTAAAGGGTTTGCTACAATTTCATCACATTTTATCCTGTCAGTTGTAATTTTTTTATTGTAGGTAAAGGTTTAAGTTGTATAATTAATTCTAGTGTAGTGGTTCCAGAATCACAAAACTTTTACCATAGCTTGTTTGCAGTGGCAGCAGGTATGGGTGATGTTGCTAGGTGATAAAGTGAACCCATTATCACTAATCTATGGTTTATGATTACCTCTTTATAGTAGCTTTTACCTATTGCACTCTATAGGACAAGCATGTTTTCATTACAAATTCAATTTTAATTGCTTACACGGGGTTCTTCTCTGCAATAAATGATTAATGAGACATAAGAGTAGGTGATAATGTGTACTTTTTGTTCTTAAATAAGCTACATCTAAGCAGCGATTGTTTTTCCTAGTGTTAACTGTTCACCCCATCATATTTTAATGGTTCAGTTTCTCTATTGACATTTGCAATAATGAAAGTAGTAAAGTAATTGTTTTCTGTTTTTAATTAGTCAGCGAGCGTAATCTACTGGTTGGAAGCAGGAACTTTGGCTCTGAGAACAGATATGTCTTCACAAATACTTCTTTCTGATGTCTAACACTCTAGATGCAATTAAAATGAACCCACATTTATTCCTTACAAAATAAGATTGACATAAGAATCATAAGGTAGCTTATGAATAATATTTAAAAATTTACATCAGCTTATAGGGAGTATTTGGAACAGCACCTAACAACAATAAGATAACAGATAAACTCAATGTCTACATAAGCAGGAAATTAATTTTTATTCAAGAACAGAAGTAGCCTGATCATAGGCTTCCATGAGCATTTTTATGTATCCACTTGCGGTTCACACATACCATCTTCCTGCTCTGATCTTTTGACAAGCCCTCAGGCTTCGACTGAAAATCGCATTTGAACTATTGTCTGTATGTTTGGAGATTGCTTGAGTATACCTCCTTCTGAGATCTGTTTCTCAGATAAGCACCTCCTACTCTATATCGTCCCATAATATAACTTCTCTCTCTCTCTTGCCTACAATTTTTGTCAAGATTTTTAGTATGCTGGTTCCATTTTTGTAAACTATGCTCAGATTACAGAAAACCTGAGAAGATTTTCAATGTTCTGTCTGAATATGCAGTTAATGTCATAACCAATTCCGTGATGAGATACTGGTACTTATCAGTCTTTCTACCCCCATGCTCTGGCTTCTTCCAAATAAACTTTAAGCTTGTGGATCAAATTACATCTGCAGAATGCTCCAGCAGCTCCAAGAAGTAGTGGGTGAAGCTCTAGGCGTGTGCATCAAAGCAACCTAATTCAGGACTACTGGTCTGCAGCCCTTCCTACAGTGGTGCCCCCTTTTTTTTTTTCTCAGGCCTCCCCATGGATTGGCATGAGAACCTCTGAGCATTTGAAGGAGTGAAGCGGGTGGAAAATTGCCAAACTAACACTTGTAACTAATCAACTAATCACTTCCACCAGCTGAGGTGGAATTAAAAGTCACATCTAAATAAGGAATAAATTTGGGAAAAGTCATGAAAGTCATGTTGTTGCAACCACTCCCGGTCAGTGGTTTTGATATAGCTTTTTTTTTTTTTACTTTTTGAAGGAAAAGGAGAAAATGCAAATGAGTGCAGAACTGTTCTGGTCTATATGGCCTCTTGACCAGAGAGCAGTCACTGTCCACTCTTATTTACTAGAAGAGACATGATCTAACTGCCTACTTTCACAGCAAAGATCCACAGTAATCTCTCCTGCCCTGCTCAGACATTTCAGAAGTTCTAGGCAGCACAGGTTTTATATAAAACAAAGTTTTATGTACCTACAGATGTTCTACCCAGCAGAAAGTATTTAAACTGATTTCTTATTGCTGTACAACACTCATTACCAAGTACCCTTTGCATAAGGCCCATGATTGACCAAACTGATTAAGTAGATTCAGAGCTCCTGTCTCGTTGGGGGAATCTTAGAATCAGTGGTGGCAGAAAGAGGCTTATTTAGCTTAAATGTTAGAAGCCTGTGATTTGGAACTGCAGTTCACTGAAATTTTCTTAATTTTCCTAACTACAAAATAGATATTTTATGCCCTTTGATTAGCTAGTATTAGTTAGGAATGTTGCTCTAACTACAAGCAAATCCAAAATGCTGATCTTCATAATCTTAAAACACGCACATTATAATAAAGGCTAAAACCATCAATGACAATAGGTTTTGGCTTGTATAATGAGTATAGTATGAATTTTGTAACTATGTTTTGATTTTTTTTAAAGGACATTAGTGGCTAAATACGAAGTTTTACCCTCATAGCAAATGTTCTCTTAATATTTATTATATATAAAGAGTTCAAAGTATTAGTTGCATTTAGTATTAATATTTTCCCATACCATTTTCATTGTATCATCTGAAATTGTCAGATGAATAATGCTCATCTGGATAGCAAAAATGTTATGTATATTAAATTGTTCATGTCTAGTAAAAGCCATGATGTTGTTATCTTATTGAAGTACAAACTTTTTACATGACCATTGTGAAAGCAGTCTTTTGTTTTCTTTCTTTCTACTCTTTCTGTAATAAAAATTGCTTTTTATTTCACATAGCTCTTACTTAACCTCTGTTCACATCTGTTCTGAATTATACAATATAAAATATTGTGTTGACCAATTCCTAGAAATCTGTGAAAAATAAAAGGGAGACTTTCATATTGGCAAAAAATGAAGAAAGGACTTTTCTTAAATAAAATACTCCTGTCCTCTTCCATGTCAGTACTTCACACTAGCAACCTAGCAACCTTACAAACAATGCATCCTAGATTCAAGCATCAACAGAATCTTTCTTACATAGTTTGACAGCATGTTCAGACATATAAATAACTTTCACTCCTGTAAAAATGAAGAAGCTCGCTCTCACTGTAGCAATGGAGCCTAATGGACATTTGTGAGCAGTCTTTGCAGTGGCTTCAGCAAATTATGGGTCACTGATTAAAGATATAGAATATCTTGTTTGAGGATGTTGGTTAGGGCAATAAAATATCTGCTTTTCCCTGTTGACATAATCATTATCAAAATAAAGCTTTTGTTCTTAAGCAGGTGTGATTGCTCCAAATCAAAACAAACAAACAAACAAAAAAAAACAAAAAAAAGAAAGAAAGAAAGTTAAACAAAAGAATTAAAAAACAAACCCCAAACCTAGAACGATATCATTTTCTTTAACTTATTAGCTGGCTATCATGAAACATTGATCACATTTAGGCATCAAAAGATTGCATTTGCGTCTGTGTGTTCATTACAGTTGGTCTTGATGGTCTTTTCCACCCATAGTGATTTTATGTTTCACTTAGAAAAAGGTTAATCTGCCTTATATGGAGAAATCCAGGAAAACACTCAAAAACTGTGTGAGGTCACTCACTACTAAACTTCTAAACCCCATCCTTCTTCTCTAAAGTCAACAGCTATTCAGTTAAAAGACAATATCACAAAGTATAGTTGATACATGATGCTTTGAACAGTAAAATTCATAGAAACTAAAGAAAAATTCATAAAGGTCCATATATTTTCTGCTTTCTGTTTTATGATGATATACATTCACTCAGATTACAAGTGACATTACAATACTGTTTTCTGGCTGCTTCTTTTATTCTGCTCCTCACTATTAAGTTGAGATTTCTTCCAAAGTTGGAATAAAAATGAAGGGGGATTAGGGAGTGTCAGATAGCCAGAGGTAAAGTCCTCCAGGTTTTACTTTAAGTAATGATCTGTAGAACCAAATTCTTGTTTCTCCAAAATATGCATAGTCTTAAGATTTGAGTCAATAAAACATATGCCTTGTATCACATTCCATGGAAAGCAAAGAGGGCTTGTAGAAAGCCTCTTTTTGGGGATATTCATTTTATGGTATCCTCAATTAAAAA